ACAACTATCTATCTGTGGTCCTTTTTATCACTCTGTGAACACTGATTGACATTTTAATATCTTGTACAAAGCTATTGCAAGTATTCATACACTCAGCCATCAAAACTTTCAAAAACAAGCTTATTCAAATGCTATAACAGTTATGCTACAAATAAACAGTTCTCAGGAAGAAAAAATGGAAGTTTCACTGTGAACACAAAGAACATGGCCTCCTGTGAGACATTTGGAAATGCTATAGAGCTGTCTTCTTCTCTTCTACAAACGTTCTTGTTGAATGAGATATATCACCAAACTATTTAATGACAGAGTAAACTATTCCTTAAGTCATTTGAGGTAGTGGTAGTCTTAAAAAATATATTATTTTCATTATCCTCTCTTTTTCAAATTTTACAGGAAAGATAAGTCATTTATTCTCACATATGATATCATGTATGTGCCAACAACATGAAGCCTTATGTAGGTGGGTCATGTAGGTGTCATGACCATAACATGGAAAACTTATAAATCTTTACATTAAATCCATTAAAAGTTTGCTTAAAGATACATTTTGTAAAGATGCATACACCCAATATAAAGATATGAATGAATCACTTGTACAAAAATGCAAGAGTACATTAACATAAAAAAAAAATCATTTGCAATAATGTAATGAAACATATATACAAAATACATATTTCTTACAGATGAAAAATAACACCATTGGACATTAGTAATAAATACACTGATTTCAGTAAAGAATTTATTTAGTGCAGGTGACAGTTATGGGATTCACTTCATTTTGCAGATGATGTAAACCGTTTACAATAATGAATAACATCCTTCAAAAGTTGTGAACTTACAGAAAGATCTAATGAAATTCAAACAAAATACATCAGATTCAAGGTTTCTTTTTTTTTCTTTAAATGGCAGTAGAAGACTTCCTTGAAAACAGGATAGCAAATTACATCATATTGAAAAATATCATAGTGTATCATAATACAAACTGTTTGTTGCTTCCTTTCAGAGTTCTTCTTTACGCTCAATCTTAACGAGCTCGACCTCGAAGACCAGGGTCGCATGTGGGGGGATCTTTGGGGGGGCACCGGAGGCTCCATAGCCGAGGTCAGATGGAATCACAAGCTTTCTCTTCTCTCCTTCACACATTCTGAAAGACAATGGTTGGGTCACATCTCTGAAGCCACAGCTCCACTCTTCAAAATGTTACATTCAAAGAGAGAGGGTGGGAGAAGAGAGGGAGAGGGAGAGGGAGAGGGAGAGGGAGAGGGAAAGAAGGGTAAGGAAGGGAGGGAGGGAGAGCGAAAGGAAGGGAGGGAGGGAGAGAGAAAGGAAAAGAGAGAGGAAGGAAGGAAGGAAGGAAAGGAGAAACAGAGGAAGGAAAGAAGGAAGGAAGGAAGGAAGGAAGGAAGGGAGGAAGGAAGACAGGAAGGAAGGAAGGAAGAAAGAAACCAACAGAGAAAGAAAAAAAGAAAGAAAGAGAGGTAGGAAGGAAGAAAGGAAGAAAGAAAAAAGAAAGAAAGAGAAAGAAAGAAAGAAAGAGAGGAAGAGACAAGGGAGGAAAGCAAGAAAGAAAGAGAGAGAAAGAAAGGAGGAAAGAAAGAGAGGAAGAGACAAGGGAGGAAAGCAAGAAAGAAAGAGAGAGAGAGAGGAAGAAAGAGTGAGAGAGAGAGACAGAAGAGAAGAGAAGAGAAGAGAAGAGAAGAGAGAGGAAAGGAGAGGAGAGAGAGAGAGGGAGGAAAGGAGAGGAGAGGAGAGAGAAAATGAATAAGAGTGAGAGTGAGAATGAGAGTGTGTGAGGGAGAGAGTGAGAGTGTGTGAGGGAGAGGGAGAGTCTGTAAGGGAGAGAGTGAGAGTGTGTGAGGGAGAGAGTGAGTGTGTGAGGGAGAGGGAGAGAGTGAGAGTGTGTGAGGGAGAGAGTGAGAGTGTGTGAGTGAGAGAGTGAGGGTGTGTGAGGGAGAAAGTGAGAGTGTGAGGGAGAGAGTGAGTGTGTGTGAGAGAGAGAGTGAGTGTGTGTGAGGGAGAGAGTGAGAGTGTATGAGGGAGAGAATGAGAGTGTGTGAGGAAGAGAGTGAGAGTGTATGAGGGAGAGTGTGTGAGGGAGAGAGTGAGAGTGTGTGAGGGAGAGAGTGAGAGTGTGTGAGGGAGAGAGTGAGAGTGTGTGAGGGAGAGAGTGAGAGTGTGTGAGGGAGAGAGTGAGAGTGTGTGAGGGAGAGAGTGAGAGTGTGTGAGGGAGAGAGTGAGAGTGTGTGAGGGAGAGAGGGAGAGTGTGTGAGGGAGAGAGAGAGTGTGTGAGGGAGAGAGAGAGTGTGTGAGGGAGAGAGAGAGTGTGTGAGGGAGAGAGGAAGAGTGTGTGAGGGAAAGAGTGAGAGTGTGTGAGGGAGAGAGTGAGAGTGTGTGAGGGAGAGAGTGAGAGTGTGTGAGGGAGAGAGTGAGAGTGTGTGAGGGAGAGAGTGAGAGTGTGTGAGGGAGAGAGTGAGAGTGTGTGAGGGAGAGAGTGAGAGTGTGTGAGGGAGAGAGAGTGAGTGAGTGAGGGAGAGAGGGAGAGAGTGAGTGTGTGTGTGAGAGAGAGAGGGAGAGAGTGAGAGTGTGTGAGAGAGAGAGAGAATCATATCTTACCCAATGAGGCCTTGGTCCCAGCCTTTAATCACTTGTCCAGAACCCAAGGTGAATGTGAGGGGCTGGCCACGAGGGTAACTGCTGTCAAACTCAGTGCCATCTTCTAGCTTGCCCTGAAATAAGAAGGCAAGGCATAAAATAAATAAATGTTTACACACACACACACACACACACTCACACGCACTAGCACACGTACACGCACATATACTTTTATTTTTAATGCTATCAATATTGATATTGATAAATCAAAAAAAGGAAAACAAACAAACATACATTCTTTTCCCAATGCTATTAATATTGATGTTATCATCATCTTTGACACTATCAGTATTAATAGCAATGGAAAAAAAAAAAAATCTAAAATCTGGGCAAAAGGTAAACAGGTGAGAGGTTGTACTACTAATGAAGATTAACCCCTTGGATCTGAATGATATGACCATCTGTCAAGAAAAAATTTAGCTGGGGCTGGGGTGACAGGAACATGTCATGAAAATTTTGGCTGAAGGCCGGGGTGATGAAATGACTAGCCACGAGTGCACAAAGCTCTTGGAAGATGAACAGACTCAGCATGCATTTTGGAAGAGGCCCTTGCATTATTTCCATCTGTAAACAAGTGTGGAATGTACCATCAGTGACCTTTGGCTGGAAGAGTGCTGGCTCCAGGGAAGACAGTATTTCCTGCTCAGGATCAAATTCCCATTCAACATGATAAGCGGTGCAGGTTGCATTACAGAAAATTGAATACTATAAAAAAAAACCACTAAATGATACATATAACAAGATGTTAATTATTGTTATTATCATTACACTGAGTTATGGAGTACTTAGAGAAGTGATATGGAATCTGTGCCAGCAAAACAGTCTACTACTGTCAGGATACAACATATCAAATGATTAATACAGACTTTGTAAAGTGGCAAAAAACAAAAAATTCTTATGCAGAGAGTAAATAACATTCCAAAGGGAAGGCAAGGGGTCTTGACTTCAAAAATGTTCATGTGTGGCCAGCCTATAAACATGTGAGAGTGGCCACTCAAGTAAGCCTAATGCTTGGATTTTTGGCCACATATGGGCAGTGAAGCTCCCAGATCCAAGGGGTTAAGCCTTAATCTCCTGATGCTATGGGGTTTGCATCATGGCTGACTTGGTTGTGGTGCTGTCATTCACATCATGGCTGACCTGGGCAGGCTTCGAGAGACAGCTAATTAACATATTATCATGATGCAGGCATTATATTTTATACTATTCTTTACAAGGTACCCTCATCCCCAAACATCCCATGCCCTGTGGCATTGCCTGAGAGAGAATGTGGTGTAATACTCTAATTGTATAATATTTTGTATAAAAGGGGCAATACCTTAACATGTACATCCTTTGCCTGCTACCCCTGGAAGATGTCATACAACAAAACCTTGAGCTCTCTTGCTGTTGTGAACCCATAAGAAACATTCATTCTAGTTTACATAATCAGTCCTCCTGTGTCAACTACTCACATGGTCTTGTGACTCTTGTGTAGAATGACACAAAAAGGGGAATTACTGAAGCCCTGGGAGTATCAGCCTTGTATGTAACTGTATACAATCTCTTATTTCATGAAAAGAAGATTTACAAAATGAAGGAAAATGCCACTTTTATCCTTCAATAAAACTATATTCCATCATTTACACAAAGTGTAACACACTCAATTTATTGAAATGGGCTCTAATTTACACAATCAGAATGCAATTGGTTCAATCTAATGACTAAAATGAATACAGAAAGTCCCCAACTTACGAACATAATGGGGACCGAGAGGCTGTTCATAACTCCATTTGTTTGTATATCCAAAGTTGGGTCTCCATTGCCTTTTTTCCCGTTGTTTTAAAGTTTTGTTTACATTAAGAATACCTGCACATAAATCCCAATAAGTATTTTTGATAGATTGATGCACAGGTAAAGCGAATTATGGCACAAAAATTGGCTGTACACAAGGACACAGTGAACAGATGCTTTCGTGTTTATGGCAGGAGGGCAGGCGACTGAGGCAAGTGATGCGCACAGCTGAGTGAGCGCGGCAGATTCGTGAACTATATTCGTGCCCGGGAAATTTGAAGTTTGCTAGCATCTTTCAAACAATTTTTTGGACTTAAGTGCTTTAAAGAATTTGTTCGTATGTATGGAATGTTCATAAGTAGACTGTTTGTAAGTAGGGGATTAACTGTATTATGCATATCTGACTGTGAAAAACATTGAAATATTTTGAATACAAGAGATGCAAAAACAAATCATATCACTTTGTTAGTGCAGTGCAGCAACTGCAACACATTGGCCATGTCTGATATGGGCCCAAAGACAAGTCCAGTCAGCCATGCACACTTCCCACAAAAGAGGATCAGCACCAAATTATCTCACAGGCATCTATATGTAATGATAAAAAAATAAAAAAAAGTATTCTTGTGACCCAAGCATCATAGGGTTAAAAAGTAAACTGCTTATAAGTTTGTTTTTACATACGCTACTAACTTTTCCTATCAAATTATATATAAGAGAACAAAATGTTGATGATGTTCAAAAAGTAGCAAATTCTGAATCTTGTTTTATTCCCAACAAGTACTTGCAAATCTTTCCTCATTCACTGATCTATTTTACAAACTTTTTACAGATAACTAAGGGGTCAGACATAATTATCATTTTCAAAAGAGTACAAAGAGTACTCTTTGAAAATGTTAATCCTTGAGCATAGATGAAGCAACCAATCCTCAACTATGTGGTGCAGCGTGGTCTGATAAACTGTCCCTTGAAGGCACCTGGGGACCCGGTTATGAACTAAAACTATGTGAGGACATTCTACTCAACCAGCTAGAAGAATTCACATTCAAACATCAATGTACCCAAAGCAGTTGTTATTTCTAATAAAAATGCCATGATTTGATAGTCTGGTACAACATTGCTCTGTGTCCATAGCGGTGGAAAATGTAATGACTGACTGACTGACCAGGAAATTCAATTATAGAAAATAATTGACACTTTTTACCTTTTTGAAAAGCGTTCGTTGTGTATGCTTTTGAAAATGTTGATAATTATGGATGACCCCTAACTTAGATGAACAGTAGACTAATTTAAGCTAATACCAAAGCATTTTTCATATTTAACAAGTACCTGATGAAGAATTCTGTTGTCAGTTACCATACAATTTCCAACAGCTGTTATTATTAATCTTGCAATCTATATAATGAATACACTTGTTTTGATTAGTTCAAATACATAAATCAAAAATGAGATCTAAACTCTACAAAAAGAACATTTCTGTTATACTTACTGCATAATGCATGTGTAGTAGGTCACCTCTACGACTTTTGAGGGTACAGTTGTCTACACGTTTTTTTACTCCAATTTGCAGTTTTTTTACTTTTTCTTTCTTCTTTTCATCTTCTGCAGAAGCTACTGAGCAAGCCGCCAACAGGATGATTAATCCAAGATCTACACGCATTTTGTACTTCTGTATGAGGCTGTGGAATGAATGAGAAAATGTAAAGACAATGTAGGCATACACATCACAACAAACATTTCTCTAAATGTAATAACAATAAAAACTGCATTATCAAATGTCTAGATGAATGGGTATCAAACACAGCAGTCATCTTCAAATGAAACAATTAAGCAAAAAATAATCCTATCGAGAGGTCAATTCACAAATATATATAAACCTACAACAACAAATCAGCCACAAATGATAATCAAGGAAGGGTCAATTCCATATAATATAATCCTGAGAAGAGGTGTCACATTCTAAAGACTTGTCACAGTGGAAGAGTGTTGGTAAAATATGAAACCAAAAGCATGTTGTGCTTTTGGTGGCAAGAGAACTAATGATGAGGCTTTTGACTGTTCCTGCAGCCCAGGTGCATTAATGAGCACAACACACAGATGGTAAGGATAGACAGGGTGACCAGCTTGCTCAGTATATTCCACCATCTGGTAGCATGGGAAGAACTCCGACCAACTAGTAGTCAACCATCAGGCTGTACACAAGGTCTTTGGTAAATTGATGAAGCAGATAGACATGCAGATGGAGATCATCAAGGATTTCCTCAGCATATAAAAGCCTGCCTGTCTGGGACATCCACATGGATGTCTGCTAATGAGACTGAAAGAGGGATGACAACAGCAACAAAGGAGATTAGGGGTGGGAGATATCAGTGTATAATATTTCACTTTAAAGTTATAGCTGCTTTGTACAGTATTACTCCTAATGATACAACATCCAGCAGTCAGATGCAAACTGGGTCAGGTTTTCTTTCACCTCTTGTTCTTCCATATGCTTCTCTATTTTGTACATGTCTTTAAGAAAAAAATCTCACCTCACTTAAATTCTTGTTAAACAGAATGCAAACAACACAAAATTAGCATGTACACAGTATATAATAATCCAGATAAGGCTAATGAAAAGTTTAATACATGCATTACATTACATGATTTACAATTTCTGCAGTCTTGTCAAGGTGTAAATTAAATAATGAGCAATTATTGAGTACATACTATATACTTATATAAGCATTACAATATCAAAATCCTGGATTACTATATAAAACCAGTTTCCCTAACAAAAAAAAGTCTAGTAGAATATGTATGCATTATCACTCTCGTAAGACCAGAGCATGACAACAACACTATACTGTATGAGATAGTCCTGATAATTCTGTTTTCTACAGCTGTTAGCAAAAAAAAGGCATCAAAATGGGCTGGATGGCTAATATGGCAACTATGACTAGTAAAAGACTCTTGATGATCTTATGGTTTCTGTGTTCAAGAATGCAACATCCATTATATATAACGATGAAAAGATGGTCTCAACAGGAATCTGGCACTATCAGCAAAGTGGATGCTAATGATAAAATTTTGGAGTATTACTGGTAATGCTTTACAGTACGAAAGCACTCACCAGAGACTAAATCCCCAATTCCACATCACAAGATTAACCCAATGCCTACGGGCATGACATGTATGTACATGCTATGCTCACTGTGAGATGACTTGTACTAAGTCACCAATGAGCCAGTTATGAGTACTGCCTGTCTCGCCCATTTACCCTTTTCTTTGATTTACAAAAATATTTTACATTATCTTATTTTGCTGTTACTAATGCTTATAACATTATAGAAATTATAATGTTTATAATACAAATAACAGCATCAATATTCATAGCATTAGTAAAAACTATGTTTCTCCTGCCAATTCAAATCAGGTAAGGTCACAAGGTCTACTAATTGACTCCTTTGTGGCTAGGCACTAGCAGAGCCATCTATGTGCAGAGACATTTCACAAAAAATATAGAAAATGAGCACAGCATTTTCCACATTTTTTATTCCTTTTTCCCAGTGGCATTGGGTTGATTAAACAACATAAATTGCTGGTGCTGGGGAGTTCTGTCCCCCAACAGCCCCCCAGGAAACATTGCCTTCATCACGGTATGCACGGCAAGATAGAGCTGAAACTTGGGAGCAGCTGAGTGGACTTTGGTTGTGAGCTCCGCATTCCACAATCTTTTTCCTTTAATTTGTGGCATTACCATTCATGTCAGTTGATTATTTTTTGTCCCAATAACACCGGGTTAAATTTTCCCCAGCCAGGGGGCTGTGCCCCCCTGGACCCCCATGGTATGCAAAGCCAGGGGGCTACGCCCCCTGGACACTGTGATAATATATGCGTCTAGAATTCATCCTTGCAATGTAAACAAGATGAGCAATTTAGGCAAAATTGGGGGATTTTCTCTTTTCTTTTATGTATAGCACCCTTGGGAAGCATCTGCTTGCCATAGAAGAACTTTGCCTTGGTTTGTATTGTTCTACCATTTCATGTAGGTTTTATTACCCAACTCTGCCACTACCTTATACTACATATTGTCCATATTCTCTATTATATTTTTAACCAATTGCTGACAGGTGACATAAGTGAACACGGTAGCATGAACCTCTATGCCACATGCATCAAATCTGCTCTGATTTCTGATATGCTCACTTGTTTAAGCCATGACTGAAGTCAATGAGACATTACAGCCCACCTAAAGAGTAGGCTTGAGGAGACTGTCCTAAGACAGTTCAAACCAAAATTAAATTCATCTCTTGGATCCAGGTAATGTGGACATCCTATCATGAAAAAAATGGGTAATTCTTAACATGCATTTGCCAGAGACTAAGTTCCCAACTCCAGGTCACAATCTTTAATCAACTTAAATTGCTGTGACTGGACATGTCCACAGGGTTGATAGGGAGCTCCCCCCCCAGAAAAACATGGCCTTTACTTCAGCATACATGGCAAAATAGAGCTAGAACTCAAAAGCACCAAGAAGACTTTGGCTGTGAGTGGCCTTTTCTATGATAATTCTCCTTTATTTGTGGCATTACTGTTCATGTCTACAGCTTATCTGTTGTGCCAACAACTAGAACTTTTCATCCTTTACATGGATTTTGGTCCATGAACACACCATGAGGCACCCAGATCTAACTGGCTAAGGAAACCATTCTAAGGCAGAGAACACAAACAGACTTTCATTCAAACAGTTTCTCAGTTTATTTGTTTATTGCTGCTATTGCTATCACTACTGTTTACTACTATTACTGTTACTACCGCTATTACTAAGGAGTATCAAGTTTATGAATCCATTTACCAGAAGGGACACAGAAACTCACTTCTGTACAAATATAACTGGCACTATTAAGCAAAATTAAGCTTGTTGATACCCCCATGGTCACTTTCTGTAAAATGAAGTACCTCAAAGAAGTTTGCCTGCATATCTTATGTATGTATCAGACGCTTCTCAGTTTTCTAGATCTTAAATTTAAAAATGTAATGAATGTTTACGTGTAATGAATGGAGATTATCAAATTAAAAAAAAAATACTGTACACCGAGAAAGGCATTACATTTTTTAAAAAATGAGGCAGAAAATTACTCGCAGGAGAGCGCTTAAAAGAATCTCTCAAAAAAAACCGGCGTACCACAAACTACCACTTGAACATACACTGAGCAAGGTATAATACATCCCCCCACAAAAAAAAACTCATTAAAACTCACACACATACAGACACAGACACGCACACGCACACGCACACGCACACGCACACGCACACGCACACGCACACGCACACGCACACGCACACGCACACGCACACGCACACGCACACGCACACGCACACGCACACGCACACGCACACGCACACGCACACGCACACGCACACGCACACGCACACGCACACGCACACGCACACGCACACGCACACGCACACGCACACGCACACGCACATGACCTACTCGAGGTCTTCCCCTTCCGAGACTGCGACGAGTGTAAACAACAAGACGGCGGCCGCTGATTGGTCAAGCCCGGGACGTGTTCGATTCGCTCGTTGCAA